AGTGCCCAGCCCAAGGCCCCAAATTCCACCTGGGATAGTGGGTCAGTCAAGTTGAACTGGGGGGCAGAGAGAGGTGTCCCTGAAGTAGGGCTGGTATCAGGAGTTCTGCCCCCAGTGCCCCCTCATGACAAGCTGCTAGGAAAATCGCTCTCACCGGTGTGTACCACATCTGCCTCTGCCCCTGGTGCCCATCCACCGGCAGGGCTACCCAGGAGGGCAAGGAGCCAGTATGCGGGTGGGGCAGCAGGCGTGGTTCTGGCTGAAAGGGAAGGCTGGCAATTGCCCAACCTAAGAGTCCCGTTGCCTGGACAGAGTTCTTCCCGCTACGTGGGACAGGCGCCCAGCACTCTGAAGCTGCTCCGCCTGGGCTCTCATCACTTCCTTGTACCTGGACGGGAAAGGGATGGCTGGCCAGTTCCCCTACCTAGGCAGCCAATGCAGATTGGGTCCCCGGTTTCAGGCAGATCTAGATCTCCCGGCCCCTTGCAGTACACCCTCTGCAGGGTCTTAGATACCATCCCCCACCCCCAACAGGAACCTCCATGAGGCCCCTATTCTCCCCATCCTGGGCCCAGCACTCCTCTGGCCCAAACCCAGGAAGCCCATTCAACAGAGGAAGCAAAGGCCAGAGGAGCAAGATGCTGAGATGAACTCCCCAGCCTAGAAAATGCTGAGCCAGACCCTGCACCCCTGGTTGCTGCCAGCCCAGTGTAGGAGGGGCTGCTAGGCCCAAAATCTGAACCAAGCTCTACGGAACAAGACTAGTGGAATGGGGTTGGGACACAGAGGGCCAGGAGCCCCATGTACCCCGGTCCTATGGCCCAGTCGCACATCTCCTCAGCTGATCCGCCTGGGAAGGGGCTGCCCAGTGGCCCCTGGGTGGGCACCAGGAGACAGGAGTACCAAAAACACCCTACCCAGGCCCATCGGGCAGAAGCGACGTGCCCTCCACCGCGGCGACACCCACTCAACTGGTGCTGCCGCACTCGATGCGAAGACAGGAAGAGGCAAGCGCCCAACGCAAAACAGCCCAGGAGGCTGGGCCGCCGCCCCTTCCCGCCCCTTCTCTTCCTACCCGCAGCGGCGGCGGAGCGGATGCCATTTTGAAACCTCTGGGCTGTGCCCCTGAGGCCAGGCCCCCAGGGACAGTCAACAGATGGGCTCAGGACGGAAGACACGCTGTCCGTCCCTCGGCCAGACACTCAGCCAGGAAAGCTCTGCTTTTCACAGCCTGAGGACCCCACAGCGGCTGTGAGGCTGAGGGGCCACACCCCCCCACATACACTGTCCAGCCTCCAATGCTGCTACGAGGGCCTGTCTCCCCCGAGCCCTGAAACCCCAGAATCAGGCTGCCACCGGGCACCACACCTGCTCCCAGAGGAAGGCCGGACGGGGACAACTATCAGGAGCACAGTCTTTGCAAAAGTCCACCTCAGATGTCCCCCAATTCCAGTTGGCCCCCAACTCCTCATCCAGCTGGCCCACCACTTCCCCCTCACAGGGCCTCAAGATGTGACAGGCCCACCCACTCCCAGAGGCCAAGTCCTTGGCCTTTCGGCGCAGAAAGGGTGCAGGAAGCCCAGTACCCGTCAGCACATCTCCTTGGCCCGCCCGGCAGGGCAGCAATATGTCGGCTGTCTCACCACTTCCACTTCCCCCCACCCCTCAAGCAGCCACCATCTTTCCTGGCCTTGGAGGCGCCACAACCCAAACTCCTCCACACTCACACTTCATCCTACTCCCCAGACGCCCCCCTCACTGGCCCAGATAGGGCTTAGAAACTGGGAAACAGCCAGCCCGCGGAATCTCCCTGGGAAGCTTGAGGCCTGGCTCCCTCCCTCAGTGAGACCAGTAGAACCTCAGTCCAGCCCCTTAGTCTGGGCCCCTCCTCCCAGCTCGACCCCGTCCACCTAGTGCAGGAGGGGTAGGGGAATCAGAGGTAGACCAAAGTGTGGGAGAGGACTCAGGGAGGAGGAGCAGAGGGGTTTGAGGAGTAATGTGTGCAGAGTGGGACCTGGTGAGCCAGATGCAGGTCGCAAAGATCTCTAAAGGTTTGGGGGTTCCAGCTAGAGAGAGGGCTCATGAGCAATCATGGTTTCCACTTGAGAGGTCCCTTGATGTCAGGGTGCACAGGTGGATACAGGGTTCAGAGTAGGGACAGGGCAAGAGGGGAAAGGAAGGAGTGGGTGGGGGCCTGGCAGGGGCCCCAGGGATGTTCATGCCCAATTCATGCCCAGGGGAGCAGGTGAGGGAAACAGGTGGTGCCTAAGGTGGGGGCCAAAGCAGGGGGTTCCGGGGATTTGAGTGAAGTCTAGGGAAGGATGGAAGACAAGGCAGGGACTCTGAGGGTCTGTGAGGTTGGTCAGCAAGGGTGGATGGTCAGGCAGCGTTCTGAGTCTGGGGGCTTGGGGTCTGCCAGGAGTTAAGGGTCTGACCTAGAGTCTGGGCTATGGATCAGAGGTCTAGGCCAACCTAAAGTTTTGAACCATTTGGGTATCCTGGCCAGGCCGGGTCTGGGAGTTCAAGGCCAGGTGTGGGGGTCCAGTCTGAGTCTGGGAGTTCAAGGCCCTAGTCTGGAGGTCAAAGTCTTTGTCTGGGGATTCGGACGGGGAATCGAGGGTCCCAGCGCAGGGCGCGGCCTCACCCAAAAGCAGCAACTTCACCTCCCGCGCCGCCTTCTCGCCGTCTTCCCGCAGATTCTTGTCGATCATCTTAGAGCGCTCGGCCGCCGCCTTGTCCTCGGCACTCACGGTGCAGCCCATCCCGCCGTCCGCCGGCCCGGCCGCCGCCCGGCCCCCACACGGCCCCCGGCCCGGCTCGGCCCCGTCCGACCCACTCCGCTCCCGCCGCCGACCCTCTACGGGTAGCTCTCGGGTCGGCAGTTCCGAGCGTCTGCGGGCGGTGCCTTCCCGGCCGCCGCGCACCGACGGCGGGGCGGGCCGAGGGTGGGGCCGGAGCAGGCCAGGCCCGGGACTGGGCCAGGGAGGGCCCGGAGGCGGGGCCATAGGAGATCCGGGGTCGGTGATTGGCTTGAGGGCGGAGCAAATTAGAAGTTAGGCTCAGCCCAGACTCGGGCCCGAGCTGGAGGCGGAGCTACACCGAGGAATAGCTGCAAGAGTAGAGCCAAGCCCAGAGGGATTGGGCTCCAGGCGAGCTGCAGGCGGGGCTGGGCTCCGATTGGATGCGGAACTCCCGGAGCCCCGCTGCCCAACGGCGGAGGCGGGCGGATCTTGTACCCCGAGGGTGGGGATCCGGTGCACCTCTTAGGCGAGCAGAAATCAGCCCTGGAGCTTAAGCGAGACGGGCTAGCTGGGTGAAGGAGGCGTGTCTTCTCTCTTGTTAAAGTTATTGAACCCAATAAACTTGTTTCAGGATCTACGGAGCCCCGGAGCCTCTCTAAACTTCGGCTTTCTCTGTCTTAAGGCGAGTTTGGCCCCTTCTCTCTCGAGTTGCAGTTTAAAAAATGTCTACTGCCACCTCTACACCTTTGCCCAAGCTATCTCCCTCAGCCAGGGTGCCTCCTCTTGTCACACAAGGCTTTATCCATCCTTCTCTGATCTAGGAGGCCTTCTCCTGCATGTAGGCATCCTGGACTTCAGCCTGGGACATGGCAACCAGACCGAGAGAGAGGGAGAGAGAGAGAGGCAGCGGGCAAGAAGGAGAGGTCCACCTGACTTATGGAAAGATAAGTGGCCCTGACCCTATGACCTGTCCCTATTGGACAGTGGCTGCAACCCTATGGCTGGGCAAAGGTGGAGTGGAGGCAGCATCGTTTCTAGCAGAACATTGCAGTCTTTCTAATACTGTTCAAGAAGAGCCCACAGCCCTGACCTCCAATGGACTTCCAGTGAAAGAGTCTGCCAAGGGTTACCCACGAAGATTCTTGTGTGGCCCCAATGCTGTGAGTCGAGGAGGCCCCGCCCAAAGACAAGGTCCACAAAGCCAGGAAGGGAGCTGGCCACCCACAGACCCCCTGTTCAGCATAGACTCCTTCCTTACCACCCTGCCACACATCTTGTTTCAGCTCCAAATCCTCAGCTGTCTGCTCTCCGTGGACTGTCTGTGGATCCCTATCTGAATGGCTCCCTTGTTGAGGAGCAATCATTGGACTATAGGTCTTCCAATGGTTCTCCAAGGATCCTCTCCTGCCTAGAGCCAAAGCTCAGGCAGGCTCTGCCACAAACATGCAGCAAACATGGTGAAAACATATAATGGCCATCCAGGAACACAGACACTCAGAGATATGCACTATTCATTAAGTCATAGGACCAACCTCCAACATGCCTCAAATCCATAGAACCCACTATAAAATGGGTGCACACAGTCAAAACCACAGCCTGTCCACACATAGGCTACAAACCCAGCTCCAAGGCAGGCCTCTTTCCCCCATCAGCCCCGCCCCACATTTGAGAGCTGATCCTACCTCCTTGGGCCTCCCCAGCTGGCTCCTAGCAACAGCCAACAGCTCTTGCAGTTGCTGAGCAACGGGGAGAACCTGTCAGCCCCTTGGAGGCCAGGCTCACCAGAGGTGGGCAGACACAGACCCCAATCGATGGAGGCAGGGCAGGACAGGGCCACAGGGAGGCATGTCCTCCTCCAGCCTCAGGCCAGGCTGTGTGGTCCTTGCACACTTCCACCTGATAGTCACTCCCTCTAATTATTCGTTCTTCCTAAAGTGTCCAGCAACCCTATTCCACCCCTCCCAGCTTCCTCCTCTCCATCTCCATGGGGGCCCCAAGGGTAGGGCTAGGCCTCTGCTTGCCACTCCATTCACATGCCTCCCTTCCATTCCTGGGGCTCTGAATCCTATTCTGTCATCTCCAGCCCAGCTTCTCCCCTAATCACCAGCCCCATGTCCATCACTGCTCTGAAACCTCCCCTAGACACTTTAGGCACCTCCAGTGGCCCCTGCTCCTGGTCTTTCCACTTTGTGGTCTCTCACCAGCCAGAGCAAGCCCCCCCCTTCCACCCCTACACCCTGTCAGTTTCTTCCCCTCCTCAACCCCCACCTCACATGTGTCTCTGTTCTCTGTCTCTTCTCATGGGCCTCCAGCCTCCTCCCTGGCTCTCATCTTTCCTCTACAATCCATCCTCTACATGGCAGCCAAGGGATCCTGCTGAAAGAAATCACATCACTCTCTTGCTCATAAACCTTCTGTGGCTCCACAGTGCCCTGAGGATAAAACCCAGACATTCTGGTTTGGATTGTGTAGGAAGTAGACGTGGTAGAGGGACAACTGACAGCAAGAACTCTGAGGAGCAGTCTACAAACTTACAAGCTGCATATTACTTTGGAGAAATACCAGAAACTCCCTGTGCCTCCGTTTTCTTATCAGTAAATGTGCCTAACAGTAACATCAACCCACTGCAGTGGCTAAGGTCAGGACTAAGGGAAGAAATGAAAGTAAAATGTAAAATGTTTCCATGTGAGTGGCACATGGAAAACTCTAAGTAGGGGTGAGTCCTATGATAGTAATCTCTGCAAGGCCCTGTCCCCACCCAAGGTCCACCTGATCTCCCCCCACTTAACATATCCACACTCAAGCCATCTGACTGACCTTGTTCACTCCATCCTCTTGCTCCTCCCCTTGATCCCTCTCCACTCATTCCTCCTCCCTATCTCTCATTCCATGGCTGTGAGCTGGGCCTCTAGGACTCCACTGTCCTGGAGCTTTCCCCACCCCAGGCCCAGATCCCACTGTCTTGGTGGTGAGTCTCTTCCATCTGGGTCTCTGTTTCCAGGCCCAGAGTAATCCTTGAGGGTGCAGGTAAATATCTGTCAAATGAAATGAATGAATCACACAAACTCTCCCCCAACCTTTCCAGGGGTTCTCCCCCTTCCCCCCTCCCCCCACCTCCTGGAACTGGGAAAGCTGTAAACAACTAATCCTGCTGCCACTATAACAGTATTTGCCATTATTGTATGTGCAGAGAAGGCAGGAACTAATTGTGCCTGGGAAGGAGGCTTCTTAGTGGAAGTGATGTGGGGAGTGGTAGAGGGAGGAGAGAGCTGAGGAAGAATGTGGCAGGAACAGGGAATCTGGAGGTGAAACTGTGAGACCAGGTTTGGGGAGGGGCCAGGGAGAAAATCAAGGGTCAGAGCTGGAGAAACCCCATTGCTTTACAGCTGAGGCAACTGAGAATCAGAAGGGGCTGGGACCCATCCATGGTCATCCAGAGACAACACGGACAGCTTGCTTCCCTCCCCTTTGGGAACCCAGGAGTCCTTTTGAGAGATGTCATTTTGGGAGCAGAGGATAGCTGCCTAGCCAGGGCCTCATGGGCCCCAAAGGAGGCAGGACTTGTCTCTGTGCACACTGGTCCAGCACCACCTGGACTAGACCATAAAGACAGTGAAATGACAGCCAGCAGAACTGAGGACAGCACTCTGGCCAGAATGGAGAAGTGGCAGCTGCCGGCTCACTCAACTCCCTTGCTCACTCTGACAGCTAGAATAGTCCTGGGGCTCACCACACTCCACAGAGCAGGTGCATCTTGTACTGAGTTCCTACCATGCACCAGGCTGAGCAGGGTGAGAAATGGAGACCCCCTCAGTGGGCCATGACACCCCAGCCCACAGGCTCCAGGAAGGGGAAGCTATGAGTACTTCCTCAAAGACAGTTTCAGGGTGGGTGTGTCTGCCCTCATTCAGAGTCCAGGAACAGGCAGGACCCTACAGGGATACCCAAAGTCCAGGGTCCTGACCACCCCTCTTCCATAGCTCCCAGGTGGCAATCCCCAGCAACTCTGATCACCAAATCACAGGCCTTGCAGATAGGGCTTCAGCAGCTTCTGCTTGTAGATCTCAGTGGCCAGAGCTGGCTCCCTCCCTGCAGCCCTGAGCCAGGCTCCACCTCCTGGGTACATCCCCTGCACTTCCCCCTTCCTGCTTCTTAGCCCAGAAGCAGTTTTGAGATTGGAGTCAGGTACCCTTCCCTCTCTGCCCCTTCCTTTCAAACCTCTCTTCCCAGGCTTCTCTTCCCTCCAGAGAAACAGTTCCAAGCCTGGGAGGTCTTGGAGTCCAGGGTCCCCCTTCCTGGGCATCTGCCTCCTTCAAAGATAATTGGCTTTGGCATGAAGAACTCAGGCCAGAAGTTTCTGGATGGGGTAGGGGGCTCCACCTAACATGGGGACAGGAGGGTCTGAGAAGATGAGTCATCTACTCACCCATTGTCTACTGTGCCACTGTGCTGAGAACCCTAGGGAGAGAGAAGCAGCTGGGACCCTGCCCTTCAGGAGCACATGCCAAACAAGTAAACAGGGAAACAAAAACAGTTTCAGAGGAAATCAACAGGGTGACAAGAGAGCCACTGGGAGTGTACACAGGAGTAACAGTCTGAGAAGAAGATCTTCAAATGATAAGAGACCAACAGTGTGATAAGCCAAGAGAGTAATAGGTGGAGGTAATAGCAAGTGCAAAGACCCTGGGGTAGAAAGACACAGGGTGTTCCTAGAACAGAAAGGAGGTCAGCTTGGCCAGAATAGCAAGAGCAAGAGGTACATATTGTGATGTGAGAGAAGACTGCCATGGGGCTTCACTGAGTAGGGCAGTCAAGGAGTTCCCAAGTCCCTAAGAGATGCTGAGGTAAGGGTACATCTGAGCCTGCAGCAGGCATCAGCATCTCTAGGCCAGTGACCCATGCCTGGCCTTGCAAATACAACTGGTCCTGGCACTCAAGCTGCTACTGAGTAGGGGAGAACTGTCCAGGGAGCCCTTGGGGCTTGGTGGTCAAGTCTGAGCTCAGCCCCTCTCCTTCCCCTTGAAGAGCTCATGGTCCAACTCGCTACTGTGTCTGTCACATACACAGCCTCTAAAGGCCAGCTCCCCAAGAAACCCAGGGTCCTCAGAGGGCCTGGGAAATGATAATCAGCCTATCCCCAGGAGCCACTCTTCTGTTCACCTTGTTGCAGCCCTCCGTGTCATGCTGTCCAAAGGCTGGGGCTGGTAGCCTCTCCCGCGACTTGTTAGGGCCTTCATTAGCAATGCTTCCTGGAATTTAATTTAATGAAGGAGCAAAAACAGCCTAATGAAGGTGATGCAAAAGCAAGCAGCCCATGAGGTGCCTCCAAGGCCCAGCCACCTGGGCTCAGGGGCTTCCTGCTGATGGTAACTGGGAGTAGAGAGGCAAGAGAAAGGGGACTTGTCCTGGGAGGGATGCTGGCCACTGAGTCCTGGGAGTAGGGGACATTGCTCTGCCACACTGCATGGAGCAGATGCTACTACTGAAGCTAACTACGCAGAGGAATGAGCCTGGCTGGGGCCTGCTTCAGGCTGCTGGAAGAAAGTTTTTAGGATGCTATCAGCCAAAGCAAAGGTTCTAGGTCACCATGGGATGTCAGATGTCCAGGCTGTGGGCTAGCACCAGGGGGTGGTAGCAGGGGCCAGATCATCAGGGCCGAGTTTAGACTTTATTCCAAATTTAATTGTGATGGAAACAACTAACGTTTTGTTTTGTTTAACAGCTAGGGTGTTTTGTGTTTTTTTTAATTTTAATTAATTAATTTATTTTGAGAGAGAGATCACGCGAGCAGGGCAGGAGCAGAGAAAGAGGGAGAGAGAGGCAATCTCCCCACTGTCAGTGTAAAGCTTGATGTGGGGCTCAAACTCACAAACCATAAGATCACACCCTGAGCCTAAGTTAAATGCTTAACCGACTGAGCCACCCAGGCACCCCACAACTAGCGGGTTTTTAAGGGAGGGTGACATGACCTGCTATTTTAAAGTTCCCTTTGGCAGTTATGAGGAGTAATACCCCTGTGGAGAAGGGAGAAGGTAGGGAGACAGAGGGGGACCACTATATGGTGCAGAAGGTTAAGGTGATGGAGGAAAGCTTAAGGAGACACGGTTGTCCCTTGTCGCCTAGAAGGTAGCTCCGGGGACATGGAGTGGGGTGTATGTATACCTGGGCTGAACTGTTTCTTCTAGCAAGTTTGGGCTGGTTGGTCCCCTTTCAGCCTTCTCCACAGACTTGGCCTCTCCTCCAAATAGACATTTAAAGAATATTAGTTTAAAAGATTCTTCGCGCCCCACACCTGCTTTCCCACCTTTGTGGGGGAAAGCACTCCCCACTTCCCCTGCTGGAGTTCCCTTCGCATCTCTCCACGGCTCGAAGCACTCTACGCCTTGCCCCCAGGGCTCGCGCAGCGCTAAGGCTCTCCAGGAGCCCCAGGACTGCATTTCACAACGGAAAAGGCCCAGAGCTCAGGCACAGCGCAGAGAGCTGCGAGGGTGCAGCCTCGCAGACCAGCGCATGTCCCGCCCCCCGCGGCCTCCGGCCACCGTCCGCCACCCCGCGCAGCGCAGCCCCCTCACACCTCCCCATTTCTTAACCCAGCTCCTCAAGTTCTCGGGACCAAGCCCCGCCCCAGCGCCCTCCGCCCTCCAGGCCGGGCTGAAGCCGGAAGCGGCCTCTGAGCTCGCGCCCCGCCTCTTCCGGGTCCTCTCTAGGCGGGAGTGCTGGACTTCTGTGGCCGCCGGAGGCCCGGCAAGGTTTCGCGGGGCAGCGGCGCCCTCTGGCGTGCCTCAGGCGCAGCGCGGGAGCCGAGGCCGACCCAGCACTTCCTCCGCCTCCGCGCAGCCTTTGCCTCTCCTGCCGCTGCTGTCCTCCGGCTGCCACTCGAGGTTATATCCCCACCAGGCTTGCTTTCTCGACTTGTTTACTCTCCGACCCTGGCCCCGGCCTCCGCCCATCTGCCTGCCACTTGGAGCGCCCGTGGCCCTCGCCTGATCCCCGCCTGCCTGGCCTTCCCAGCCATAGAGGAAGACCGTTCTCTCGGACCATCCCCAGGACGTGCCCTAACAGCCGCCTTCTACTCCCTATGGTCGTGGCACCTTCCCACCCTCTGTTCCAAGATGCTCCCCCGCCTCCCCAAATTCACAGCGGAGATCAGGCGCCAATTTGGGGGACCATCCCGGGCAGCCACTTCCTGGCTTCCTCGGGATCGGATGGCCCCGTGTCTTTCCCTCGTGCCCAGCCTGGGGACGGTTGTGTTTGACCCCAGGGTGGACTTGGTCAGGATAAGGAGAGGGGTTCGGGCATGTGCGGAGGGGGTCTCAGAAGGCTAGGTCAAGAGTGGCTCTAGGAGTTCAGCCCCTTCCTTCCTTCCAGATCAGGCAACCCTGTAGAGGTCCCTGCCTGGCCTTCTGAGGACCTGGCCACGTGTGGGACTGGCAGCTCCTCGCTCACCTACCCAGGATGCCAAACGTTGAGGTCCTGGCCCCTTTTTGACCACCTTTCCCTTCACGTCCCGCCTGGAGCCTTCCTGCCTGCCTTCCTCCCACACACCAGGCTGGAGGACTTTTTGGACTGCCTTGGAGCCTCAGGGCCTGGCTGCACTGCCATAGCTGACCATTCCAGCCACCCAGCCCCACAAGGTGTCTGGCGGGTCACAGCACAGCCCAGACTCCCGCCATTGGCCACCAGGGGACAGCAGAGGCCGCCTTCTGCAGAACTCGGGTTGGGGGTGGGGGTATGGGGGATCAAGTCGCAGTCTAATACTGTCCAGGTCCTGCTGTGCGAGGCAGGGCAGGTTTACAGCCTTATGTGGTTTTGAAAGCAGTTTTATTCTTTCAGATTTTTTCCAGGGCTGCACTTTCTAAGTAACTTCCAGTCAATTATTCCTGTTCCAAGTTGTTTGAAAATCAGTTGCTGGATGACTTTAAACTGAGATCAAGGCAGACATCTGGATGAGTCCTCTGGGTCCCTCCATGTGCTCCTTCATGTCCCTGGCTACCAGGGCTTGGCCAGGCCAGGCAGTGTCCACCCTGTATACCCTGATGCCAACTGTCCAACCTCCAGCTACTGTCTTCTAGCCCACTATCTCTAGAGCCCTGGCCTTCACCAACCTCCTACCCATGGTCCAATCTCTCCTCCTCAGTACCTTCTTCTCAGTCTTCCTAAAAGCCTCTGTTGGTCCTGCTCCCCTCACTTCACACAGGTCTTACCAGTCTGTAGTCTTACCAGTCCTGGGGCACGTGGGTGGTTCAGTCTAAGTGCCCAGCTTCAGCTCAGGTCATGATCTCAGGGTTCATGAGTTGGAGCCCCACATCAGGCTTGCTGCTGTCAGCCTGTCAGCAGAGATCCCGCTTTGGATCCCTTGTCCCCCTCTCCCCGCCCCTCCCCCACTCATTCTCCCTCTCCCCCTCTCTCTCTCTCAAAAACAAAACAAAAACATTATAGTTTTACCAGTCCTACCTCTTCCTCCTCTACCCACTCCAGTCAGGCTTGCCCTTCCCTCCACAAAACAGCCGTGACCCACACATTGCCGAACCCAGCTGAAGCTCCATGCTCACCTCCTTGAGCATTTGACCCCCGTCTGGCTCCCACATGCCCTCTTCCCCCTTTGTTTCCTCCTGGCTCCCCTGCTTAGCTCTTTCTCTGATTCCACCTTGGCTCTCCTATCTCCTAATAGGAGTGTTCCAGGGCTCCATCCTGACTGCTGCCCTTCGGTCTTCACTCACCACCCTCATCTCATCCAGGCCCCTGACCTTAACTACTGTCCACTGGCTTTGCCTCCCAGACTCTGGGCCCAGTTCTGGCCACTCTACTGAACTTGAGTCACATACCCAGTGGCCGACTTGGCATCCCCACTTTGATATCTAGTCGATTTTTAAGACTTTTCATGGGCAAAACTGATCTCCCTCCCAAGAACTGACTCCTTCAGTGGATGCAGTGGCAGTTTGGACCCTAGACAGCCTTGGAGTCACCCTAGACTTGTTTCTGCCCCACTCCACCCCCATGTCCAAATAATCAGGGAACTTTGCTGCCTTTACCTCCAGCACATGTCCAGCATCTCACCCCAATTGTGCCATACCTGGGCTGAACTACCTGACATGTCTGTCTGAAATTGCAATAGCCTGTGTGTCATTGTCACCCTTGGCTCCCCATCCCACACCCCAGAGTCTAAGCTCCATGTAGCAGCTGGAATAATCCAGAGTTGCTGTTGAATCAGATCCTGCCCCCTTCTCTGTTCAAGAATTGGCATTGGGTCTCACCTTTCCCAGAGAAAAATCCAAAGCCCTTATGGTGGCTGGCAAGGCCCCACATCTTCCCCCCTCAAAAGCCCCCACTTGTCCCTCCTTCCCTCTACTGCCTCACTCAACAGCAGCCACAACGACTTCCTGGTTGCTCCTCTCACAGGTATGTTCTGTTTCTGAACTTTGCACCAGCTGATCCCTCTGGCTGGAATGTTCCCTGCAGGCATCCACATGACTTCCTCCCTCTCCAAATCTCTGATAAAGCATACTTTTCTCAGTGAAGGCCACCTTGACCCACCTCCAGACCCCCTGTTCTCTATTGCTCCTACCTTGCCATTTTAGTACCTATGGTATGACCATCTTCTAACAAATAATGTAACTTACTAATTATGTTTCATGTTTCTGGTCTGAATTCAGTCCCACACCTAGAATGTAAGCTCAAGGAAGGCAAGGGCCTTCACTTTGTTTACTGCTGTGTGTACAGGTGCTGGAAGGATGCCTAGCACATGGGAAATCTTGATAAATATTTGTTGAACGAGTGAATTCCTCTTCCATCAATAGGTGAATGTACACATGTGCACACAGGTGAGGAGGGTGTGGGCAGGGGGAAGCTGCTGGTCAGAAGAGACCAAGGCTGACTTTGGCCCCTTTTCCTGGTCTATATCATCTTGTTTTGCTGTTACAAGTGGTCATAAGAAAAGCAGTGAAAATAAATATAGAAGACCTTTGTGCTGGAGTTTCTGGCTGCTTTCACTTGTTCATTTCCAAAGAGAGCAAATTTTAAAAAGCAAGAAAGAAGGAAAAAAAAGACCTAGGAAATTCTTCAAAACATACAAAAATGACTATGACCAAGGGCCTGCAGACCCATCCTTATGGAGGCTGAGTGACTGGACCTTGACAGCCAGGAACAAGAGATATTCATTTTCAAACAGTCATGTGGACACTTGGTATAGTCTAGCAGCCACATTGCCTGCCCCTTCCCCCCTAGAGAATGCTGCTCATGGTCCATGTTAGAGGAGACCTTGCTGAGCAGGCAGAGAAGACCTCTTGGGGGCCAGAGTCCTTCCTCCACCCCATGTGTGTGTGCGCGTGCGTGCGTGTGTGTGTGTGTGTGAAGCAGGTGGACCTACTGTCAACACATCCTCTTGGTCTGAGAGGTCTAAAGCCAGGCCTGGGGTTTTTAGGGAATCCAGGCAGTCTTGCTGCTGCTCTGACCTGCAGCCTTCTTTGGACAGAGTATGAGAAAAGACCCCCAAGGTCTCTCAGCAGGATGGACCCTGTCCTCCACTGCCTCCCACTCTCTAGGAGCCAAAGGCTCCATGCAGGCCTATGACCTAATCTGATGAGGAGGAAGCCAGAGACCCCCCAGAGGGCAGCCCCTCACATCAGGACACTCTGGGCTGCAGCCACCTCTCGGCCAGCGTCCGGCTCTTTTCTGGGGCTGCAGGGCTCCTGGGTAAGTCCCCAGGCTGGAGTCAGGCGCCTGGGGCTGAAGGGAACTAGACTCAGGAAGCCCCCCTCTGATCAGTTGGCACAGCCATGGGCCTACCAGCTACCAGCTTGAGGAAATTCTTTCTTGAGGGGTTTCCCAAGCTGGCAGCTGCCTTGCCAGTTCAAACTGGATTTTTCCTGTTGCCCTTTCCCTGGCGGCCTAGCCGGGTGCAGGGTCTCTCCTAATGAGGGTTTGGTGCCAAGGCCCAGGCGGCTCCGTCTTGCTGGGTACCAGCTGGTTGAGGCCTGCCCCAGGAAATGAGCAGCTTCCTAGTTTCATCGGGGCCAGGGCACTTGGGACTACCCTGCATCTTTAGGCCAGTCCTGCCCTGCCTTGGACCCCCTACTCAAAACTCAGGGCTCCAAACATGGGAACTCATTAACCCACCTTTATTCACAGTGGGTTTTACCATTAATAGATCAGCCTGACAACTCACAGAATTCCTGGATTTTTGTCCTCAGACTCAAGGCATTAGCAGAGGATTGACATGGCAGCCAGGGAGGGCAGGGGGCCCTTCAGCAGGGTTTCTGCAGGGCTCAGCTGCCCCCTTGCTCAGACCCTCCCTGGAGCTACTGGGGATGCACCTCACGTTGCCTCCTTCCGGAGCCTCTCTCTGTCCCATTTCCTGGGGCCTCATTAATTCCTCCCCACCTCACCCCGTGAGAAAGCAGGTCTGTGCTGAGCCTGGCCCAGGTCCAGAGCTGGGCCTGAGCATGCCACTGGCTGGTTTGGAAGGGGCCCTATCCCCACCCTCATCCCAGGGAAGGGGGCAGGAGAGGCTCCCGTTTCCATCCATGTCC